CTACAGAGAGAAAGGATGCACAGGTCCCATTCATAGATCATGTTAAGTCACACAGCAAAAAAGCTAGCCTGAACAATTAGTGATGCACCCAAGAGGCGACTGAGCTCACTAGGGCTTGTTTGCACCTCCTTCCCCTTAGTCCTTCAGCCAGTATCCTAGTCCCCTTTGCAGTAGAACTCACCTCATCTCCTTACTCCCCAGTCCAATTGCTACCCTTTTTCAGGCACCGCCAGTTGTGAGGGGTTTGAAGCCTCAAAAATGTGTACTTTGGAGGCTTGTTCATTTTTTAGGCCTCAGCATATTACACATTCTTTTAGTAAGTTCTAAAATTATTCTAATTGCTGTCAGTGTTTCACAAATGCACTGAACAGGTACAGGTACAATACAGGTGCCCAATGTGAGAAGTCTTACCTGATCAACTTCCTTGCCTGTTTCAGCAAACAGTAAATGGATTGGCAAGGCAAGACTATATGCAGGCAAACTTGTGCACAGTTGCCAGGGTCAGGTTTCCTAGCTGTCAACTGAACAGCAGGAAAATGTAGCAAAAGCAGGGGTACCCAAAGAAATGGGATGATAAGACAGCAATGTAAACCTTCGGTTCTGGGGTGTTGAACGAATGCTTCCCAGCATTCCCCACCTTTGCAATATTTCCAGCTACTCAAGAAAGGGGAAGCATTAAGTCCCCCTCAAATGGCACAGTGGAATGACTCTTACTGGCTCAGTGCTCCCTGCTGCAGTCACTTTTGGGCTTGCCATAGGTCCCCCACCCCTTTTACTCTTTTCTTTCCGAAGATCACTTTTCACAATTGACAGGTAGTGACGGGCCCTCCAAAGCATAGTTCATCAACCTTAAAATGATTTAGTACAAGACATTTGCACCAATTTCTGTATGTTTTTTTTCTTTTTCAGCAGATCAGCTCATCAGTTTTTTTCTGACAGGGGCATATGCATTTGTGTCTGCATTGGTCTGTGTAAAAAGTCTTTTAAATGGAACCAGATTTTTGACAGGGAGCTCACAAACCTCCATGCTCCCTTAAAATGAAGGGGTGAAAAACTACGGATTGTGGCAAGAGTCAGGTTAAAACAAAACAAAAACAACCCTCCTGTAGAGAATCTCACAGTGAAGGGGATGAACTACAAGGCACCCCCCCCCCCATAAAGATTGCTTGCACCTCTCAACATCTGTCAAAAGCTGAGGTATCAAGAGAAAGACAAAGGAAAAACAGGCTCTCTGCTGACTCTGTACATGAATATGCATGGTGGGGGCCTGCTGCCATTTGACAGCAGACACCTTCCAGGAGAAAGGGGAGCAAGGCATGTCATTTTGGATCCATGTGAATGTGCACCTGTGCAAGTCTGACTAAAGAAACAGCTTTAACATATGCAAATTTGTTGCAACCCCCCCCCCAAAAAAAACCAAATGGGGGGGGGGAGAAACACAAACAAGTGACGACTCCTCCAACTTTGTACCAGTGTAGGTACTTTGAAGGAGCAAAGTACCTATAAAAAGGGGGGTGGGGTGAAAGGGCAAAAAGGCATAGCAAGTAAAAGTCAGAATGGGAAGAGCAAACAAGAAGGGTCAGCAGATTTCCCTGTGAGAGTCTCAAAAAGACTGATGGGAAAGATGGGGGAACAACCCACAGAGAGTCCAATCATCTGTCAGGCACCATGGGTTATTTCAGGAGGGGAAATGCCTGCATAGTCTATTCACAAAGTAGATTGTATGATGTAGACACCTGACAGACCACTGTATGGAAAACATTAGAATGCACTTCTTGAATGCACATAAACAATGTTTAACTATGCCATCTACAGAGCAAATCCCATTGCACTGGCCACATCATGTTAATTTAAAATTCACGCTAAGCCTTTAAATACATAAGCAGCAAATGAGATGAGAAGAGCATGTCCATTTTAAAATAGTATTTATTATCTCACTGAAAAGAATTATTCTCATCTCACAAAACCTCCAAAAGAAAAGCTATCTCATTTTGGCTTACAAGTCTTCAGAATACTATAAAGCACAAAAATATGAAAGACATCAGAGAATGCTGTTTCATTCTCCACCAGGCTCACAGAGCACTTGATTTAAGAGCCAGAATCTACATGTATCCAAGATACATACCACACCTGCAATCACTCAGGTTGCAATATACGCGACACCCTTGACTGAAAGAAAAATTCCTTCCTAACCTACCCAAAATAGATGGAACCATAAAGCACCAATGACTGTATAGTGATTTATCATTCTTTAAAGCCGCAGAAACTATCTGCTAATGTAGAAACTTTCCCCAATCTGCACCCAGTAAGCTATGCATGCCCAAAACCAAGGCCACAGTGTCACAAGGAGTTCTGCTTGATTCCCAGTACACCAAGGAAAAGGCACCAACCCAATTCCCAAATTCAGTTTTCTGATATTAACTATGGGGGGAGGGAAAGAACAGTGAAAAAGTCTATCTACAGTGGAGGAACTCTTGTATGTTATCAGGTCCTCCATCTGAAAAATACCCTTATGCTTAATTCAGTGACTGTTAGTAAATAAAACACATTAGTTCTTGTCCATTAGCTACTAAAGAATGACAATGGGAAAAAAGATAACTGTTAAATGGTAAATAAAATGTACAAATTCAAAAATAAGAACAGGTATTAAGCAAGGCTGTTCTTAAGCAAGTAAGCCTTCCTGCCTAATGAGATGGGATTTAAATCCAATAAATAAATGTGCACTTCTAGCATTTGACTGAATTTGGATTCCCAACTATGCTAACCTTTTCAGAATTTATGACGACTAAAAGAAAGCTCTCTAAAAGGAAACTATTACAACTTTGGTGGCTTACATCTAGCCTCTTCCTCTTGCAGCTGACCACTCGAACCCCTTCTATTTAAACATTTTACCAGAACAATCCTATACATAAATCTGAGTTAGTTTTGATAACTCAGAAATAAGTCCCACTAAATCCCCCCCAAAAACCCCTTACTCTCATTTACAGGACATTTCTATCAATAATTGTTAATAATTATCTCAGCAGGTTCTCTTAGCTTTATTCTGGAAGAATATAAAATGTCCATGCATAAGTCAAAAGAACAATAAACCAGTACTATGCATAATGAGTTTACTTGACATATCAGATATAGTTAAATTGGAAAAGAACTACCCAATAGAGACAATTAGCAGAATATTAAATCTAATTCATATTTTTTTAAATGTCAACAGAAAAATCACAAAAATATGTTTTCATCCTGTACTGTAGAATAATTGTTAGATCATTGTGTTTACAATTTACTTAGGCATATTTATCCCCTAGCTGTGCTTTTCAATTAATAGAATATATTGCATTGCTTTTAAAAACAAGGTATCTCATATTAGACAATCACGCACACCATATTATCAGAAACACTAAGTTATAATTATAATTAATACTAAACTGGAGTTCTTACCTGTAAGTCTGTCTTCAGCCATTTGGAATCAAACCTAGTCTGAGCAGCCAAACAAAACGATTCAGAAGACATCTTCCCTTTGTCAGCCAAGCCTTTTCAGCAGGCTGGATAACCTGTCTCAAAATATAAAAATATATATGTATATTACTGAAGGTGATGCAAGAAGCTACATGTAATTTTCTTTACCATCTGCTTTTAATCATTCACATGAAGAGGAGTCTCACTACGGCTAGCTGGAGCTGACAGATTTGTGAGCAGAGAAACAAGAGCATTAGCACTCTGTTTACAAGAGAGCTGTTGATACCACACAAATCTCCTCCCAGAGCTGAAGCAGAAAACATCCCTCTCTGTTTGTGCATGCTAGGCTATCAAAAACCTGTGGTGCTGCTGTATTTTAGACTAGTAACTGGTGCATGAAATAAATAATTGATTGATGATTATGCAAGCCAACATGCCAACCCATTCACCTCTCCTCATCCTGAAAAAGCAGGCAAAGGAGTAGAGGGAGCTATATGGTTTTCACTATAAAAAGGAGGAACTCCACGTGTCTCCCTAGCATATCATTTCCAGTCCCACCATCCACTCTGACTTGCTTCCATGACAAGCAGAACCTGTTGTCACATACACATGCTTTTGGCTATCTGTCTTGGGCCGAAAATCTCTCTCTCTCTCCATACATAATCCTTCAAGAGAGGAGAGTTTGTGATTTTGGCCATCAGCCCAGAAGGTAACGGTATAGCAGTTCACTGCTTATCTATTTGGAGGCCATCTCTGCAAACAAAAGAATAATGCAAAATGGGGGGGGGGCAGTTTGCATACAAGCACCTCCTCTTCACTAACACGAATCAAGCAAATCCTTTCCAGGCGCACACATGCACGCATACTAATGCTCACTAAGCCCTATGAATCCCTAAACGCAAAACCACAAACGTTTCCCCAGAAATTAACACCTCCTTCTATCACCTTCCCCCGGAAAAATAAAACATAGAAATCTCCCCTCTTTCCAGGCTCAAAGGCAGGGACAGCCCTTCGACATGGAAAACCACATTCAAGACGCCCCCCCCCCGCACACTCCCACCCCCTATTTTATATGTGACAGGAGGAACAGGGCGGGGGCTGGGCACAGGGATCCTCGTCCGTCTGTGATATATTTACTTAGCCCTATGAAACGCACGCACATATACAGATCCTAATCCCCGCGCTGCAGCTCGGCCCCCGTCCCCCCTATAGCCCTGCTGTCATCGCAGGACGCCCCTTCCCACTCCCTCCCCAGGCTTCCCAGCGAGGAAGCTCACCAGCCGCCCTCCCAGCCCCCGAAGGATGCAGGGAGAGGCCCGCTCGCGCTCCTGCTCCTCCCCCGCTTGCGACTCCCGGGGAAGGGTCGGGCGCGGGGGAGCTCTCCCAGGCCGCCAGTCGCCCGGCCCTCTCCGGCCGCCGGGGTTCGCCAGGGCCGCCTCCCTCCCGAGCCCGCACTCACCGAGCCAGCCGGCCTCGGCCCAGCGCGGAGGTAGCGGCCCCCGCAGAGCCACCCGAGTCCCCCTCCCTCCTTCCCAGCTAAACCGGATAGAAGAGAAGCCCAGGGCTGCCCCTCCGGCCAATCAGAGCGCTCGAGCCCGACCCGCTCTCACCAATCCACGCTAAGGGGGTGGGACGTTTGGGTTTCCTCTGGGAAACCATAGAGAAGCCCTGCTGAGAAGGGCTTGAAAGCTGAGCGTGCGATTACTACGGGGGGTTGTGTTGCTTTTCGGTGGTGAGTTTGCGGTAGCAACGAAGGAAGGAAGGAAGCAAGGAAGGAGCAGGTTCGACTCTGGCTTTGATAGTACTTTCTTTCCTCCCCGGTACGGAGAGGTGTATCTATCCGTGCAATCTAATTTTATGTAGAGTTGATAATGTCGTGTAAACGAGTGTGTTTATGATTGGCACTCCATCGTTGGACAATACCTTTATTAGGACCAATCGAAGTGCTTTGCAGTTCCCCAAAACTCTTGCTCAAGCGTGGTGGTACGAAAATGTGGGGAGAGGTGGCGAAGAAACTAAGAATATGCAAAGATTAGGATTTGATGTTATAAGATATGCATACTTACGCTTGCTAGCAGAAAATGGGAGCAAGAAACCTCATTGCAGCTTGCAAATAAAGGGGAGGGCTGTCGGGAGGTGCCACAAGACCCCTGCTGTGCCTGCTCTTAGACATATCGGGCCTCAGACCGGGAAGCCACATGGGGGATTTAAGCACCCTAGGGTTCCTGAGTTCTCCAAATACACCCTCTGCCTGATTTTTAAGAATCATCTTCTCCCTAAACCACAATTCATATTTGCCCTCCAGCCCCTTGAGATCAGCAGCAGGGGCTCTCCTCCGGGAGCCTTCCTAAGAGATATCAGGAAGCAAAGCACCCGGAGGAGGGCTTTCTCTGCGGTGGCGCCCCATCTGTGGAATGCGCTCCCCAGAGAGGTCCGCCTGGTGCCGTCGTTATTTGTTTTTCGGCACCAGGCCAAGACCTTTTTATTCAAACAGTATTTTAATAATCTTCAATACTTATAGTTTTAATTATGCAGCCAGTGTGTTTCCAAGTTTTAATTGTAATTGTAATTCTATTTGTTTTATTTATTTGTTGTGAGCTGTCCCTAGGCTGTGTAGCAATGGGGACAGCATATAAAACTTTTAAATAAATAAATATAAATAAAAATTCAGTTGAGTCAGCCATGTCCTCCAATATTTTCGATAGTATTTTCAGGAACTGGGAAAGCTTAGGTGAAGGGAAGGAACCAAGTCCCACAAATCTGGATCCAGGCCTCTGAGCATAAGCACAATCTTATTGATACACATGGATCAGTCAAAACTCTCAGCCATTTTTTTCAAACATTGCATATCAATAACTTCACTTAGCTTATAGGATCCTGGTGCCTGTGAATCCATAAATTTCTTGTTTTCCCTTGTAGCCGCCCCATTTTCCAGATCCTAGCTCATCCTTCATCATTTTCCATTGCCACCACAATGTCTGGACTGACCTTACCCTAACCATTCAATTTTTTTTTTCTCGCCTTGTTCCCTCCAGGATGAATGAAAGATGCATCTCTGTCATAAAATCTCTGCAGCAAGAAGATTCTTTGTAAAAGGAATTCTCTGGTTTAAATATTTTGAAATCTTTTTCCTTTGCACATATGGTACATGTAAGTGTAGAAAGCATGATATCAAAGTAGGTCAAAATATGTTTTGCTGGATCATCTTAGATGGTTTGGATAATATACCAAGCTCAGCTGGTTCAATAAAGTGGTTTTTGTGAGAAGTTATCTTTCTGCTGCCTGCATGAGCAGCACTTTTGTTATCAAAAGTGGCCTTCACTTGTATGTTATCATGGTCCTCAATCAGTTTAAACTATCTGCCGTTACAATGTGCTAAGCTGCACTTTAATGATGGGTGGTTATACAATTTCCAGAAAAATAGAGTATTTCATTCATTTATTTAATTTTTATACCACCCAGTAGCCAAACTCTGTGCTGCTATTCAGGCCTTCATATACCTGCAGAGGATGTATTTGTCTTGTGTTGATACAGAATGCATTATAAGATTAGCAGTCTGCATATTCAGTTGTCTTAGGTTATAAAAATAGGCCTGACAATAAAACTGGACCTTTGTGAATCTGATGAACAGGCCTTACAGAGCTAACAAAAGACTTGGTCTTCATGAAGTTGTGTGAACTAACATGCCTACCTGTGCAGCTGACAGTGAGTTATTATAGATCAATGACCTGTAAATGAAAATATTTTCCTGACTGGATGGTGACAAACCAAAATATACCTTAGGAGAGAGTTGGAGCAGGGAGAGAGTTTGAAAATCTCTGTTTTGATAACCCAGTAGATGGAACTTAAAATTGTTGTGAAGACCTTCATCCCATGCTATAGTGATGTTTCTACTTCTTGCACAGGAAAAAACACTGAAGCTGCTTCAGGATACTTTGTATCTTGGCTACTCCAATCTCCTCCACTCTCTGCCCCCTGAAACCCTCCTTTAGCCTTTTTCTGAGGTCACGTACCCAAATAATTACCAGCAGGGTTCTTCCCATGCCAGTTACGAAGAAGAGGGATCCAAATGATGCTGTTTACTCCCAAAATGCAAAGTTGGCCATTAGTGTCACTAATAAGAAAGGAAGGAGACATTATCTGGTTAGCATTGTCACTGACTTGGTTCAGTGCTTGTGTTTTGATCAAGAGGAAACTAGGACACAAAAATGTTGCAGCACTACACTAAAGCAGATGTAAAACCCCAGTGAAGATTGCCCATGTTAATTGCGATTGTGTTTTCGTAATTGTGATTTAGTATTTTCCTAAGCATATGAGGTAACTGCTGCATGACAACACAAGTAGCTTCCTCATTGAGCTGTGATTGTATAATGTTGCCTAACTATGTTCCATTCCAATGTCAAGATCAAAAAAGTATTAGATGGCAGGGGCAGGGAGAGGGGTCTGCAGAGGCTTCTGCGAAAGAATAGTGCTGGAGTTGCAGGCTAATCTAGGTTACTGCATTGGTATAGGAGTGTGCATCAATATGGCTGTACCAAGAACAGTCACCCCTGTGATACACAGCATACAGCTAATGCAAAAAAACTATTGTGCAGTAAAAAATGGGCAGAGAGAGGGCATGTGGAACAGAATCTCCGCACTGGGCTCAGTGCAACCCTAAATATCTGATGTTTCTGAAAGGCATTATAATAGGATTGTAGAACTGTTGGTGCAACTGGCTAGACTTGCCTACTGGCTTTGCATAGGAAGTTGCTATAGGTATAATACTACAAGCACTATCTGCCATTGAAGCACGTAAAGCACATTTGCATTTGGTTGATATCTCAATGGAACTATATAACAAACTTCAGGTGAAGCTGCAGTCCTTGAAAGTAAGCTAAATAATGCAGAACTAGACATAATATGGGGAAAATGAGTCTCCAACTCTTGTGCTTTTCTTAAAATGCTTGCAGGAGAGAATAGGCTGGTAGTAGGGGTTTGCCTAACCCAGTTAGTCTTAACTAGGACCATGCAAGACCCCAGGAGATGATCCATAAATCTTGAAGAGTGTGGGAAAATTCAGGATTTTAGTCATCTTCTAGTGGAAGAAAGATGTATATAGCTTACCTTGCTCTTAAGATAAATCCCTGTATTTCTTTCCCAGTCCCTTAAAAAATGGCACACAGCAAAGAGGAATCCAACATGAAAGTACCCTCCCCACTGGGAGTAAATAACTTACCAAAATATTTTCCCAAGAAAACAAAAGGGACACAATAATAACTAACAAGCCCTGACAGAAAAAATTTCTCAAAGTGTCAATTAGGTTCAATTAAAAATAGTACTTCAAGAACCTGTTCATCCCTTCTGTGTTTTGGAAGCTATATGTAGTTGGACATCATTTCATAATTATGTGTATTTCTGGTACACCCAGCAGCTCATCAAAATATGGCATCTCTCCATTGTACTGCTTGAAAGAAATTGCATGACTACCCAACCAAATCTATTACTACACCATATTCCATGTCGCTTGACGAAACCCTTCCTTTGATCTACAGCTTCAGTTTGATATGAATACCTACAACTACACTAATCATTTTCCTTCCCTGTAACATGGTTCTCCATCCTTTTAGGGCCAGTGGAGTGTTGTGGGTGCTCTCACAAAACAGCTACCATGAGGGATGGCTTTCCCATTGACAATCTGGATGCTATTGTGGGTGTGGCCAGTGGCAAAACACAAATTTCCCAAAAGGCCAACTAATCAGGCTGAAAGAAAAATAATTTGCTTGAGTACCTAAATACAAGGCAGAGCTGAAGTTTCAGTTCCAAAGCACAAAACTATCATTGTGTGGTTTTCTGTTCCAACACCCATTTCATGGAAGGAAAATTCATGCAGGTCAAAGACGAAGTAAGCTGGCCAAAAAACTAAGGGGCAAAGTTCCAAATGCCAAATCACATATTTACTCCCACAAAGTCCAACAAAATACCCATTTCACAAACCCAAATGGCTGATATCCAGAGAAACCACCACCATTATCACCCCAAGGGAAGTATATGCAAACTAACAGAAAACCCTTCCAAATATCTCATTGCACCCTGTTCCCAATACAATCCCCTGAAAATGCACCTACTACACCAAAGCAAAGAAACCAGCAAATCCCTTCCCAAACAGGTAAAATACTCCCTTTTCCCACTTCTCTGACCCCCTAGGATGCTTGCCAAAGAACCCTCTAGCATCCCAGAAAGTTTCCATTGGAACTGAATTTAGAGAGATTTGCTTTCACCTTAAAGAAAGGGTATTAATACTTGACTTGGAAATCACACTAGGGTTTGGCAGTGATTGTAATGGAAACCAAGTTTCCCAGAACAGTTCATTTTTATAGATTTGCAAGCTATTTTTATTGACAAGGGAATGGTGCTTAGAGACGACCAGCAACAAGCATTATAATTATGAATTGGGGCCAGAGTTTGTAGATAATCTTTCTTCTTTTTGCAGTGGGTACTGATAATTATATGGTGCACAAAGGCAACACAGAACAACTTCTGTGAAAGCAAAACAGAACTATTCATTGCAGGACAAGGCAGTCATTGTTCTCTTGTGCAGGAGTGTTTTGTTTTCTACTCTCCTAGAGAATTTGAAAGAAAATGATATTTGACTTAAAAGAATAGAAATCTGTTACTTCGAGATAAGCTGAATTCATGCAAGTAACCATTTGTACCAGACATGCTTCCATGCTATTACCTGATGGCAATTTTGGTGGTGTTTTTATGCTAATCCTTATGAACTGAGCTCATATCTTAAGTTTTATTGTTCCTAAACAACTGGAACCTGAACTTCCTTGGCAGAGCTGCAACATTTATGTAAATGTTGCAGCCATTTTCAGGAAAAATGGGTCTATGGGAAATAAAATAAGCAATTGATTAGCACACTTAACATCTAGAGTCTCTTTGTTGCTTTATGAAAACCTTCCCCACCCTGATGCCCTCCATATAATTTGGTATTCAGCTCTTATCAGTCTCAGGCAGTTTGGTCAATGGTCCAGAATACTAGCCATTGTAAGGCACCAGTTTGAGTAAAGAAACCTTTATATTCCTAAAGTTATATATAATTTAGTTTGCTCATAGGATTTAAAAATCTACTGAGTTTATTTTGTAATTAGTATTTGAATAAACTGTACTTCTAAAATTTAATATAGCAAATCAAGGGGCAAACCAGATTATTTATATCAACATGTAGATTCCTAATTTATGTCTGACCAGAGGGAAGTTCAGCAAATAGTACCTGAAACATATCGGTCATCCTAGAAACCAAAAGAAGCAGGGAGAATTGGAGAGAAAAGAAGATACCTTAACTTGATAAAAATCATGAAGGACATGCATTTTGCACATACTGCATATCCATCTGGATGGTTTTCAAAAATACCATGACAAATTTCAAGGAGAAATTCCTTGAATCATGAGAACGAGCTGACTAAACACTAAACACATTTCTGGGCTGAAAAAATGACCCAGTCAGTTTATTGGATTTTAGACTAAAGGTAAAAAGAGATTGAGGGAGCAATCTGCCAAGTTTTTTCTGAGCATTTTCTATTAATTTAAATAGACCTTGCCAGTTCAAGATCATACATACATTTTTATACTCTCTGAACATATAACTCTTCTGATGAGAAATGATTATTGAAGGCTTGCCAGTAATATTTTCTACATGTCTTGAAGCTTTTAAAAAAAAACTTAAGATTGGATGTGTTACTTCAAATTTTGCTCCATTTTCACCTTCTAGGCTCATGTTCCATTCATGTTATCTGAAACATTATTAACTATATCATTGTTAACTATAATATATGCCATCCCATTGATGAATTTAACGTGACCATATTCTTTTGTCCTAAAAGAGTTAAATTAGCACTGCAATTCTAGCTACTGATTTGAGAGTAAGGATCACTGGACTTGGTGAGACTGATTTCTAAGGGTACTTTCAGACAAGTATTTTATCGCACAATAACCCTGCCTTCTTCACAGAATTTTAGAAAGTCCATAGGACAACTTCCACTCTTGTGTTTTCCCAGTGCTTGTTCCATATCTTTTAACCCAGAAAATCCATTAAGAAGAAAAAAGTGGAATTGCTGGACAGTTCTAGGGACTCTGTAAGAATACTGTCTGTAAAAAGGTGCTAAATAAGCCTGCATTAAATAAACCTGCCTGAGAAGCACAAATCTATTATTATTATTACATTGTCACCATGTGGAGATGACTTGAATCTGCTTCCATACTGCAACTGTTCCACATCATAAGCA